AGATAGTTTGCCCCAGCTGAATATTGGGAAACGGTTTGTTAAAGAAAAAAACCACCAAAACCAAACACAAAACAACTCTGATGCAAAGTGTGTGGGGTCGTTTTCAACATGAGTTTCAACCTGAGGAAGAACTTCTTTCCTGTGAGGGTGACAGAGCCCTGGGACAGGCTGCCCAGAGAGGTGGTGGAGTCTCCTTCTCTGGAGACTTTCAGGACCTGCCTGGAAACCTGAGTGACCTGCCTTAGGATTTTTTGGTCCTGCTCTGGCAGGGGGGTTGGACTCGATGATCTTTGGAGGTCCTTTCCAACCCCTGATATTCTCTGACTCTGTGATTCTGTTTTGGCCCTTCCCAAGGGGGATGGAGCAGCTGGTCCCAGCGTGGTGTTTCCTTGGAGCTGGACCAGCCCCTGAAAGGATGGGTGAGACCTGTGCTCTAGGAATGGGAATGCACTGGAGTGTGTAAAAGTCTTTTCAGATCCTTTGTTGAATTTTTATATATATATACCTTTTTTTTTTTTTCCTAGAATAGCTGTTTTTGGAAGTTTTGGCCTTCCCTGTGGCCCCATGGACTTGGGCTGCAGCATCTCTTGCCCTTGCCAAGCCTGCAGCTGCCACCAGGACCATGCAACTACCCTGGATGCCACTCAGGAGCCCCTTCCCTGGGGTCATCCAAGGGCTCTGGCAGCTCCCAGCAGTGACAAGGAGGTGGCTGGGGCTGGGTGGATGCAGGTGGACATGGAAGTTCCCCAGCACAGCTTCAGCCCGGCAGAGCTTGCTCCAACCAGCCTCTGCTGCATTGGCATGGCCTGCAAGGTGACTGCTTGCTTGATTGCTAATTACCCCCTTTTCCTCCCCTTAAATTAGCTTCCAAATTAAAGGGGTTAAGCCTACTGGAAATTTGGCTTGATTGCTCTTTTAATTGTGGCTTTGTTTAAATGTTAGCATTAGGAACAGCAATAAAATAATTACATAAGCCATTGATGAGTATATAAACCCAGTGCCTAAATCAAGTAAACAGCTGGTGATAGTGTGAGTGTTCCTAGTTTTTCCTTTGACAGCTCTTGGAGTTCTGATGGGAAGGTGAAAGAGTTTTCCCAGCTATTTAACCTCCATGGCTGCAAAGACTTCCAGGTTTGGCTAACTCTGGATGCTTGAACTGCCAGGGAAGTGGAGGTGGGTAGTGGCTTGGGAGGAGGCCCCCACTTGCCTGGTGGCTCCAATGAGTATGGAGAAGCCAGCTGGAGGCTTCTCACCCCAGCTTGGTGAGGTGGAAGAGCTTTCTGGGGTCTGGCACTCCTGTTGTAGCCATGCAGGTGGGTAACTGCAGAGCCAAGCCTGGTGACCACCATGGGCCCTGCTCAGAGCCAGCCCCATGGCACAACCCAAGCCCAAGCACGTCCTGGTACCAACCTGTGGGGCAGTTCCTACAGTGCTCGCGAAACCCCACAGGTCAGCAGAGCCTTGACCACCAGAGCTGGTGACTGGTGAGAGAAGCCCCTTGTGCATGCAAAGAAGACACAGAATGAGGCAGTTGGTACTTATTAGACTCATGTTATTAAAAATAAAAGCAATAAAATAATAATAAACCCCCCAAACATACATATCATATGTTACATTATGCTCCATAACATGGCTTTTCTTTTTACATATTTAACAGATGCCACCACGTTGCAGGGCTGAGATCCCCTGGGGATGGTAGTTACCTGCCACATGTCCCAGCAGCCAGGCCCAGGGCACCCCAAGAACCACAGCAGGACCCACCCCTAAATCTTAATGGGGTGACTCCCAAGGGATCTCAGCAGCATCCCAGATCTGCCCCATCCAGTCGTACATTTAAATTATAAAGCGAAGAGAAAAAGAAGATAAAAAGGCATGTGTGAGGATTTAAATACGTGCCTGGGAGCAGCTCCATGTCCACATCCCCTGGGCAACATTGCTGCTCCCAAGGACCCTGCAGCAGGCATCTGGCAGGGCTGGGGGAACCAGCTTTCCTAGCCAGGGCTGTTCCCACTGCACCTGGGGATGTCACCAGTTACATTTGTACCTGGCTCCAGTTCACAGAGGGGTGGCAGCAGTGCTGGGTGTCTCCAGCCCCCTCCTGCCAAGGAACCTGTTTCCTGGGCAACCTGCTGGCATGGCAAGTGGGGCATGGAGAGGCAGAGCCAGTGGAGCCCATTCAGATCCATGGCTGTCCTGCCCCAGGCTGCCTGCACCAAGCCCTGCCTGGAGCTGCAGCAGCTCTGGGAAAACAAGTGGAGCCTCCACCACAGGGCTCAGCATCCCAGCACCAGCTCTGGGTGACCCAACCCTGGTGTCCCAGGGACAGCTGAACCTGTTGGGCTCCACCAGCTGTGCCAAGCAGAGGGAGAAGAAGGAGATGGATGAATTCTTGCTTTGGATTCAGGAGTGTCACAAGTCAGGGAAACATCTCCTGGGCAGCAGTCTTAGTGAAGGTGCAGAGTGGGCTGCTCCTTCAGCCAGGATCTTAGGACATTCCCCCAGACAAAAGAGGAGAGCTTCTGTCCTCAGCAGCTGCCTGGTGGTCCTTCCCCTGTGTCTCTGCTCACCCCAGCAGGACATCTATGTGCCCTGGGACCAGCTGGGAGCCATCCCTCTTTGCCAGCAATCCCAGGTGGTAGAGCTGAAACAAGAGGAAAGAGCTGCTGGGAGGATAAATCCAGAACCAGCCACCACCACTGAAGTCCTCAAAGAGTTCCAGGTTCCCCTCTTCAAGGGAGAAGAGATCAGGTGCCAAAGGAAGCCCTGAAGCCTCCTACCCCAGCAGTGCAGAGCAGTTTCTGGGGAGCACAGACACATCATGACTCTCCTGAAGGCTGAATGTGTCTTCTGCAGCCTTGCCTCGATGAGCAGCCATGCCTATGGAGTAGTGGTGCCACCTGGCTCTTTTGTGGGCTGCGGCTGCTGAGCAGAGGGGCCAACAGCCCCTGCAGCCCAGGGGTGACACTGAGCAGCTCCTGGGGCCGTGGGAATGATCCTATTGGGAGTCCTGGCCATGCACAACCAGAGTTAGGTGCACAGGGTTGGAGCAAGGCAGAGGCATAGGCTCCAGCTCTGCTTTCTGAGCTCCTGGCTGCAGCAGACATGGGAGGAGAAGGGTTGGGTGGCTCATATACTTCAAGGGCCATCTCATGGCAGAGGCCAATAGCCCATGACAACCAGAGCAAGAGGAACCAGGGATGGGAGGATCCCCTCAGCTCAGCTGGGAAGCAGGGAGTCTGTGAAAATGTGGCAAAGGACAAGCTCATCCAAGCCCAAGTGGTCCCACGTACCCTTTGGTCCTCAGCTTCTGGCCTCCCCTCAGCTCTGCTCATGCCCTGTGTAGGTACTCCAGCATCCATGGACCTGGAAGGTCCCTGCAGGCCTGCTGCAACTCTGGATAGCCACTTCCAGCATCTCCAGCACTTCACCAATGCAGCAAGCTCCCTGACTAGGATATGTTCCACAGTTCCTGGAACTTCACTCCCCAAACTCCCCTGCCCTGAACCCCAACAGTGCTCCCCCAGTCTCTTCAGCTGCAGGCTCCACCACCACCCTGGAATGCTGGAGCCAAGAAGCACCAGAGCACCCACGCTATGTGGAGTCCATGTAAGCTGCCCTGGGCTCAAAAAGACAAAGCATCATCCTAAAGCCCTGGAAGGCTGCAGGGCAGACTACAGCACCTTGCTGAGCCATTCAGTAAGTGAGGTTTGTAGGGTAAGGAGAAT